GGCGTGTGTGCAGCGCGTCGGCAGCCCGCCTCCGCTCAAAACGCACCGCCTTGCGGTGTGCGCTGCCCCTGCGTAGGTGGCGTCGGAGGCGACCCGGAGCGCCCTGCGCCGGTGTCACCCGGCGGGAGTCCGGGGACCGGTCGGGCGCAGGCAGAGGCCTGACGGTGGCGGCGCACACGGACGGGGAAGGCGAGGCGTCCGGAGCAGGTGCGGTCGGGCTGGGCGCAGCGGCGTTCCTGACGCGGAGCGTCGGGGCTCGAAGCGTCCTGCTGCGGGATCCCTCCACCTGGGAGGACCGAGCTGCGGAGGGAGAGGGGCGAACGTGCGGCGTGGATTGTACTCACCGACCGCTCTCTGGACAGGCAACCGGCAGTTTTTCAGTGTGGGAAGTGAGGAGTATCAGACTGCACCGGGGCATTCAGCGATTACTCGGCCAAAAACATATCGTGGGGTTCATGTGACACCTACAAATGCTTCATCATTTAAGGCTAGTATATGATAACCGACATCTGCAGCTGTGATAAATTGGGGATCTTTTGAATAAAGAGAGGAGACAAGAGAAAAAGACGAGCAGGTGAGCAGACATGCCGCAGTGTTGACTCCTTTGATGCTTCGGAACGCACAAACTATCATGGAATGGGTTTCAGTACTCGGAAACATTGAGGGGCCTTTGTTTTCCCTCCACTAAGAACACGTGTATGGTGTGCTAGCGGTGGCGGGGTGGTTAAGGCACTGGACTTCCACGTGGTCAGTCACGGGGACCGGCAGCCTAAAAGTCAGGCTGGACATGTGTGGGTGTGCGCCCAGAATCCGGAGAGGAGAAGGGACTGCGGCGTGGCCATTCCCACCTTCCCTTTCTCTGTCTCTTTGGCAAAAATTTTTTTTAAAGATGTTTCTAAAGTAGAGAGTAAAAGTATATACATATCCTCTGGGAAAAGAACATTGACATATTTATTGCATATTTTCCAACTTCTCTGTGTAACCAAAAGAAATAATTTTTTAAATTTAAAGTTATTTATAACTGATGATTTAAGTTGAGAACATCAATCAAAGCTGTAAGAATTGAAACAAAGTTTACCTTTGATTCTGTGCCAGGCTGTTCACCTGTTCCTGGTCCAGAGGGCAAAACGTTTTTGGTGATTTTTTAATGAATTATTTTATTTAACTTTTATTAAAATTATTTTCCAGTTTGATTAGAGAGAGGGAAAGTGAAGAAGCAAGGCACCAGGGCTTTGACCACCGCGCCACCTGCTGGCCCCAGGAAGAGTTGGTGAGGTGTGTGTGCGTGTAAGGAAAAGTAGTTTCTTGAGTAAAAGGGAAAGTACACTCCTGAGAGGTCTCAGTTGACTGGAGCATACCAAGAAAGGGTGACTGAAAAGGCGTGGTGGTAGGAGGTGCTGGGCTCCCACCTTGCCGACCTTGTTCAGGTGCAGGACCTAGTGGTTTGCTTTCTCACGCTCTTCTACTCTTTCTCTGGTCAAATGGCATAATAGTAAATAAATAAATAGTTATTTTTTTTGTAAAAGAGAGAGCTCCTGAAAATTAGTCCAATTGGGGTTTTTTGTTTGTTTTTGAGAGATTTTTGCTATAGGGTGCATGTGCTCACCAGAGAGAAGAAAGCAAGAAATCACCCCTCAGAGGGGATAGCCATGCCACAGTCCCCTCTCCGTTCTGTGCTTGGGATTTGGGGCACACACACGCCCATTGTGAGTTTTAAGCTACGGGTCCGGGACTTGAACCGTGATTGACTACGTAGGACTGGGAGTCCAGTGATGTAACCACTATGCCATCTGTGGTTCCCAGTCCCATTGGTTTTTTAAGTCAAGTCAGATGCGTTTTGGCTGCAGTAAAAAGATATGAACATGAGTTTTGTTCTCAACTTAGTTAAGAAGAAATGGCACTGATTTAAATAACGCAGTGTGAAAGAATTAGTTTTTCATTATTCTACCTCTAATGTTGCTCAGTAATAATCTTTCCCGAAGTCATTGTTCTTGCTTTGCATCTTCTTTTTCTTTCTTTCCTAAAAATGAGGTCATCTTTGTCAAACAGTATAGGTAACAGTTGGAGCTGTGTTATTTCGAAATATTTCATGAGCTTTTTTTTTTCCTTGTGATATTTTTAGTATTAACAGCTAGTCAAAGTAAATATAGAAATTTTCTGTGTGGGGCCCAGCAGGTGGCATGGTGGTTAAGGGCACTGGACTCCCACCTAGCCAACCAGGCTTCGAGACCCGGACCTAGCCGCTTGCGTTCTCATTTTCTCTCTCTTGCTCACTCTCACTTTCTCTCTCTAACTCTGTCCTTCTCTGGTCTAAATAAATAGAGTTAAATAAAATAATTCTTTTTAAAAAAGAAAAGAAAAGAAATTTCTTATGTGAATGTTTCTCTTTGAATTCAAATTAGTAAAATAATTTCCTGTGGTGGGGTACCAATTTTTTATGATTTTTTTTCCTACAGCTAGTCATCAAAAGCATACTACCAAAAAAAAAAAAAAAGTACTTGGGAATCGTAAGAGGAAACCAGGCCAAGACATGGTGGCACAAGCAGTGAGGCTGGGGCCACAGGGAGGCCTGATTGGGTTCCAGGGCAGCTGGGAGGCAAGGCAGGGGGTCATCACATGAGCAGATCCTGTCAGAAATGCTTCTGTCTCACTCTCTCCTCCATCCCACTCAGCCACTCTCATTTGAAAGGAAAAAGCAAAACTGAAGCATACACCAGTGTCATGCTTTAATTTCCATTTGTAATCTGCCTTCAGTAAGAGTTATGCTAGTGAAATTTATATCCTTGACTATTTTTACACGAACATGAATATTTGTGTGGCATTAAGGGTGAAGGTATTCTAGCTAAGCATTTTATTCTGAGGATTCCAGGACTATGATCCCTGAGAAATTACATGTGGGCTTGTGTGGGCGTACTCAGATACACGGGTAGTTTTCTTAGAAGACTCAGAGTATGGTTATATTCTCAAAGGTTTCTCTGACCCCTGAGCCAGCACTGGCCGCTGGTGGCCATCTGCCCCACCCGGGGGTGTCTGCGGTGCATGGATACCTTGGAGGTTTTACGTTCCTCCTGTACCACGTTGCAAGTATTTATTGAAATTCACCCAGCCCACGAAGAAATAGGGACTAGATACCCTGACGCTCCCTAGGCTGTACTTGTCAGCTCTGCTGAGCCCTCAGCCAGGCAGGGAGAGTGTAAAGCCACTGTCGTTACATTTTTTAAATTGTTTTATTTTTCTGGTACTTGGTCAGTGTTATTTTATTCTTTTGCTATAAGGTGCATGTGATGTGCTCACTACTAAGAGAGAAAGTGAGAAAGCACCCACCAGGGAGATGGCCATGCTGCAGCCCCTTCCTTAGAATTTTGAGCATACACAGATGCATGCCTGGAGTGTTTTTCAAAACTCCAAGTGCAGGACTGGAGTCGCATGGATCCAGCCACCTTCACCATCAGTCCACTGCCACGCCCATCAGCGTTTGTCTTAAACATCGGGCTCTGCTCTCCTAAATACGTTTCCTTTTTATAACGTAATGCTAGCAAGGAATAACAACACTAGAATTACCTTGCCTGCCTCTGAGTGCACGTGATAAGACAGAGTCTCAGGTGACTAGGCCTTAGAAGATGGGTTCTAGAACTTGTAATTAGGAAGTTACAAAGAATACATCTATACAAGGAATTCAGGAAATAAACACCAACAAACACTCTTCAATTGTGGTGTGATGTGATATGATTTAAGCAGCCCACTCAGGGCCCCCCAGCACACGCAAGCAGCTGCATTAGAAGCATGCAAGATACATCTTTAAAATGGAGATTCCTGGGACCAGCAAAGTGGCATAATGGTTACGTAGTTGGGCTCCCACATGGCAAACTGCGGTTTGAGTCTCAGACCCAGTAACTTCAAACTCACACCGAGCATGGGCACATGCATGCCCAAAATCCCAAGAGGAGAAGGAACTGTCATGACCATCTCCCTTGGTAGGTGATTTCTCACTTTTCTTCCTCTCCCTCTCTCTCTCTCTCTCGTGAGTGCACTCACTCTATAGCAAAAATCTCTCATTAAAAAACAAAAACAAAAAACAGAGACTCCTGGCCAGCCCCTTAGTGGTCAAGCCCTGTTTGTGGAGATCCTATGTGGCTGACCACAGACCATAGTCTCAGCCCCAGAGACTTGGCGAAAAAACAATGGGCATGTGTGTGTTTGGCCAAAATCCTGGTGGGATGGAGAAAAGGATTGTGGCATGATGTGGCCCATTCAGAGTCTTTGTGGCAAGTGTGTATGAACTCAGCTTCTTGTCTTTTATGCAAAATGTTTAAAAATACCCTTCCTGAAGCAATATATTCTATGGGATACTGTCATGCTTAGTTTGATGGTGTCTCTTGAGAAGCCAAAAAAGTTGGTTAAGAGAGGGCTAGTGATCCTGGAGACCAGATCCTCGTTCCAAGAATCAAAAGGCAGGACGGCTAGGTGCACTCTGTAGTCGCAGCTACTTGGGAGGCAGAAGAGTCACAAGCTCGAGACCTTATCTTTTTCTTTTTATATTTAATTTTATTTATTTTTTTAATTTGCTGTAGGGCATGTGAACTCACGAGAGGGAGAGAAACTGAGAAATTAAGCCACTAGGTCCAGGACTTGAACCATGACCAGCCACATGGGAGTCCAGCTCCTTAACTACCATGTGGTTAATAAAGAGAGAGAGAAGAGAAAAGATGGAGTCCCAGCAGGGATATGGCACTGTGAGGCTGACCTACATGGAAGGGGTCTGTGTTGATATGGCGGCCTTGTGTCAGGTCACATGCGTGCCTGTGATCGGACTGGCCAAGCCGGGCAGTAGTGCCAGTATAAAGGTCCTGTCGGGTTCTGTTCTCCCCACCCCTCATAGAAATGAACAGAGGTACGTGGTAAACCTCCGAGAATGTCGTGAACCTCCAAAGACACCGGAGCAGTTAAAAAACTAGACTTCTAATTAGGACAAGAAATAGATACAAGGTACAGCAGAGACAGAACAGTAATGGCATGTCCTGAAAAGGCCGTGAGAAATAGTCTCAGAAATAGTGAATTGGGAACCAGCAGTTAGTGTAATGGCTATGTCGCTGGACTCCCACGTAGTCGACCGCGGTTCGCGTCCAGGACCCAGTGGCTTAAAACTCATGCCGGGCGCATGTGCGTACGTGCCCA